GAGATGGAGGTGTCGTAGGTGTGTAGGAGAAATCGGGAGCTGAGGGTGGTGCTTGTGGTGGGAGGGCTGCTGCGGTAGGAGGTGAGTGGACAGGGGAAAGAGGTGGTAGCGTGTCGGCGGGTGAAGTAGGTGTGGGAGAAGGCGGTGGAACAACAGTTGTGGGCTTGTGTGGAGCTTCCTGAAGTTCTTCCCAGCGTGCTTTGCACTGTTCAATTGAGAATCCCACTCTGCGAGCAACATGGTTCCAGTTCGGCCGCAAGCGGGTATCAGTCTTTAGTTCGACAAGAGGCGAACGTCAGCGTCGCCATCCAGCGTCGCCATCCCAGGCATCCCAATCAGCCTCTTCGTTCAAAGGTGGTGGAGGCTCGCGTTTCTTCTTGGGTGGCAGTGGTGGTGGTGGGGAGGTAGAGGTTGAGGATGCTTGTGAGGCAGCCTTTGGTGGTAGTGCATGTCTGATGGGAGCAGTGGGAGCCGAGTCACAGGATGAAGTGGGAGAAAGAATAGGAACTGCTGTGAGGGGAGCCGGAGGTAGTGGCGGAAAAGGCCGTTGGAATTGGGGGTCCACTTGTCGGGTGTGAACCAGGTAAAGGCTCTAAAGGTTGGCAAGGATGTCGGTTGCTTGTTGGAGAAGATTATGGAGTTGGGCGAGGGCAATCGTGGTGCGTTGGAGGAGTCGAGTTGGATCTGTAGCAGAATGCATCTCATTCCACAGTTTCAGGGATCAAGCGGCTGAGGCGGCAAGCAGCAGCGGCGGGCGGCAGGCGCGGCGCAGGCGTCAGCACTTCATGAGCGGCCGGTGCATACAAACGGAGCGTGCAAATGAATTACCAACATGAATTATTGAGCACGAATTTTGCAGGAAATAATGGCAGAATTGAGATCACTCAACGGAAATCTGCCGCGGGTCATCATAAAAGAAACCAGGAGGTTCAAAGTAAATACATGTGGAAGCGGCAGTCGGCAAGTGACTAAGTGGTTGATGAATGCCATGTTTCTCAAAATCAAGCTGAGTGGAGAATCCAAATAAACACGAAGACTGACAGTATGTTCTATTGGCGGAAACTGAAAAAGTGACTGTACAAATAGATTGACAACCGAGGCATGTGATCGCAGCGGACTGCACCAAAAGATGTAGCTCAGGTTTTGCGAAGCCGGTGGTAGCTGTGGCAAGTGAAACGTGGTGAGAAGCCTCTCTCAAGTGTGGTAGGTTGGTGTTGATGTTGAGGAAGTTGGTGTGTGGTGAAGCCTCAAAGGTCCGGTGGGGTTGCATTGATGGACCACGCCAGTCCCTTGACAATGGCGTTATGCGGGTGAATCACCCAGCAGCGGGCTTTGGAATGGCAAACTGCGCCATGGCCTTGTTGTAAAAGGCGCATGGCCTGGGCTTCACCACCGCTGGTGAATTTAGTGCCTCTGCCCCAGGCGAGGAGGTGGATCATGATAGAATGGATGTTTTTTGCGAGTTTCCAGGTGTTGTGCAGTATTCTGGCTTGCTCGTAGTTGTCGTGTACGGATTGGTGGGTAATGCGTGTAGCTTGGGCGAAAAAGCCTGGATTAGCATCGAAGTGGAGGGTGCTGGGCAGAAGACGGCCCTGTTGTAAAATGGCGGTGATGTTGCCGTAGGGGCCTGTGGGGCGGCGTGAATGTGGACCGTCTCTGGGGAAGTGGAAGTGGCACGGGTGGCAGGTGGTGGTAGTGGGCGAACGGCCTTGTCGACCAGATTGGGAATGTTGATACAGTGGTAGGAAAAGGTGTCGTAGGTGTTGGTGTCGTCATTCCACTTCACATGGGTGAGTTGTCGGAAATCTGCCAAATCGTCGTAGGTATAGCCACTGTCGGCAAGTAGTTTGGCGACAAATGCATGTTGTGGTTTGTTGTCTGCTAACAGTTGTGTAGCGTGAAAGTCGAGCCACCCTTGGATCTGTTCTTGGTGTGAGAGTCGGTGAAAATGTGGTGGAGGTGGTTGCCAAGGTGGGTGAGGGCGTCGTAGCGCTGGGATGTTGGGAAAATCTGCATGGGACATGTTGGTGATCTGGTGGTGAGGTGTGGATTGTTGATTGGGGCGTAGGGTGATGGGTGGATGGGAGCGGCTGCGGGAGCGGTTGTCTGAGGTGGTGGAGGATGAGGTTGAAGGGGAACGGCGACGCCGATGGCGCGCTGATGAGGCTTTAGCAGTGGAGGTTGGAGCCGAATGATGTTTTCTGGTACGCCGGTCGCGTGTGCGGCGACTGTGGCGGCGGTGACGACGGCGACTGCGTCCTTTGCTGCGGTGGGTTCGGTGAGTAGCTGCATGAGAAGCAGGTGGTGAATGGGCAGTGCCCGAATGAGCCGATGGGGCATCTGGATTGTGGGTGTGGGATCGCTTGTGAGATCCCGAATGTGGCCTCGAACGTGCTTCCGGTGGTGGTGGCGGTGGTGGAGGTAGTGATGGGGCTGGCCGTGGCGGTGTAGCAAGGTGAGTGGTTGGTGATGTGGAAGAAAGTGTGCCTGCCGTGGTAGTGGTGGCTGGTTGAGATGTGGCTTCGTGGGGATTTGCTGATGGCGGTGCGCTCGGAGCACCAGGAGCTGGTAGTGCAGGAGCGGGATCTGAAGGAGCAGTAGTGATGGAGGCTGACGGTTGATGTGGAGTCGGTGAGGGATGAGTCACTGGTGGGAAAAGGGAGTAAGGCTGCCAAACGCCTTGAGATTGATCCCAGTGCATGGAAGTCGGGGTTGGTGGCTGCTGAGTTTGCGGAGCGGATAGTGCTGGTGGTGCATGTTGTGGAGAAGCTGGATGGTGTAGAGATTGTGTTGGCATTGGCTCAAATGATTGGATCTGAGGTGGTGTCGGAGAGGTCTGTGCATGAGACACGAAAGTGGGCACCGGTGGAGGGTGCGTTGGCATGTGATGTGGCCAGGTGGAAACTGGCTGTTGCGGCTGAGTGGTGTGGAACTGAGGTAAGATCGGTTGTAGCTGTGGTTGGGGTAGGACTGTAGGGAGATGTGCTGTTGGCGGAGGATGGTGCCATGACAGCAGCTGAAATGAGAAAGTTAAAAGGTTGGTAAAATCGGAGCCTGAGTGGATGTGCAGTGAAGTAAGGTGGTGAAAACCTGGCATGTAATGCAGTCTCTGAGATCTGTGGTGTGGAACCTGCGAAAGCTGAGCATTCGTCAAATGGCTGCGGTTAAAAGTTGATAGAGAAGACAATGCACAAACGGAGAGAAATCAGAATTTGTTGGTGGGAATTCCATCGTTTATAGCCCGGCGGCTCGAAAATCAGGAAATTCAGAAATAAAGTTGAACAAATGGAAAGGCAGTTATAAAAATGGAAGGTCGGTGATTTCCGGTATGATTTCAGCGCCTCCTTTCGGAGGGTCACACCCAGTACCCACGTGGGAAGACTGAGCGGTCCACACTTCGAACTTTGTTTTCAGTTAGACTCAATTGCCACGATGGGAAGGATGGCGGTGGAACAGCATGGCGAAAAGTCCGAGAAATTGTAGGTGTTTGAACAATGGTTGTTTCCCTTGACTGCGGTGACGAAGCGGCTCAAGCTGCACCTCTGCTGGGGAGGAAAAGGTTTAGGGGCAGGTATCATGAAAAACCATGGAAACAAACCAAGCAGATTAGACAGCGTGGTCAAAAGTTTCGGTTGCAGGTACACAGGGATGATCAGTCCCTGCTTCCCCTTCTTGTCCACAGCTTCGTTGCGTGTGGTAGGACCAGAAGGGCACACGCCCCTGCTGCATGAAAACGAGGGAGGAAAGTGGTACGTGTCTCAGTTGCAGTGGAAGGTAAGAGAGTGGAAACCCTTAGAATCAGGGCGTGACACACACACACATATATATACATATATATATATACATATATATACACATAACATTACAGCATACTCACGTAAAATCCAACCTACTATATGTCAATATCTCTGTCGCTCATGCGTGGGTGCTCGGCAGCAACGGAGCTCGCACAGGTCCCGGCGGGCAAGGTCCGCCGCGCGTCTCACAGCTCTAGCCGAAGTCCACCGTCGGACAGCGGCTCTACATGGATCTCGGATTGAGTCCGGAATGCGAAGCCGGACCCCGAAACAAGGAAGAAAAACAATAAAACAATGTATTATAAGTAGTAGTAGTAGTAGTAGCAGGAGTAGTAGTAGTAGTAGTAGTAGAAGCTCCGGCGCTTAGCCTTACCATGCGAAATGGCGACAGTGAGCCTGAAAGGCGGGCATCCTAAAGAGGCAAGTGAAAAAATTGAATTACAAAAAAAGAAATACTACAAAACCCTATGAACGCTATTAGACAGCAAGCCCTTTTACTGACTGTAACTGACGATGGGATAGACTGAATCCGCCGGCCCTGGGGCACGGCGTGTTTTGGGTAGTTGGTTTTTTGTTAGTTCTTTGTTAAGCTATGTCTTGTCCGTTTTAGTGCTCCCCCGGGCGGATTTTTGAACGCCCCCCCTCCCCCCCTTCCCCCTTGAAAGAAGCCCCCTAGCTTTGCCGTGCAGTGTAAATAAGTAGTAAGTAGAAAATTGGAAGTTGGAAGTAGAAAGTAGGGAGCAGGGAGTAGTAAGTAGTAGGTAGCATGCCACGTGTACAGCGCAAAGCAGACCTTTTACCTACTGTTGTGTCAGCCTTGCGCCCTTATCTGCATAAATGTCACTGCTTCTCCGGATTGGCTGCATGTGACCACATCCAGTTTGACTTCTACTCTTGCAGTCACCCCTTCTCGGCCAACGTATGTGTGGATGTGTAGATATATAAAAATATGTGTGTATGTGTATGTGTATGTGTTGGTAGATATGCTCCCAATAACAATAGATGTGCTGATCACCGGAAGCTGAAAAACAGAATAAAACATAGTAGCTCAAGTGGTGAATCATTTCTACGCTTGAAATATTCAGGCTTTCAGGCCCACCTTAATATCGTAATTGCAAGCTGCACCTAAAACCAACAGGCAACACACGCAGCCACCCTAGAAAAATCACTTGTGCCTGCGTGGTGTATTGTCATTGCACTGTCCTGCAGAACGCGGGTGAACAGGTCGTACGTACGCAAGTCCCTCACCTTGGCCACGATGCGGCAAAGTCTGTGCGCGGACAGCAATTTATGACAAGTAAAAAGAATGGTTTCTTGCAAACAGCCAAGCAGCTTTGGAGAGCTGCGACGACACAGCTTCAGTCTCTTTGCGCAAAAAGTCTGCGCCGCGATCTGCCCCTGGCACTTGGACTCGGGTCGGGCCTCCAAACATAGGTATTATAGATGATGTATATAGATTCTTGTGTACCGGCCTAGACTTGTCCAGGTCCAGGCAACCAAAGCTTTTTTAGACCAGGTCCAAAGCTTTTTTGGGGAGCTTTGTCTACGCAGGGCCTGAAAAGCGATGAAAACTGGAAGTCCTTTCGGGGGGAGGGCAAACAGACATATTGGAGATATCGTGAGACGTGAGACTATGATTTTGGTGGCGGTGTTTAGTGTTCCACCTTGGAACCTGGCTGGTGTTGATCTGTTTGCACTTTAGATTTTGCAGTGTCCAGGTTTGAGGCTGACTTGACCTGCTTTGTCATTTGGGCACAGTCGGGTTTCAATGCAGTCCAACAGTAGAATGCGGTTGTGCTTCGCTCTCTGGGAGTGGCGCGCAGTTTGTCACTGGCGCCCCCATCATTCCTCTCTGGAATTCTGAATGCTGTTTTGCTGTCGAATGGCGCCATGCAACCTTGGAACCCTGGGCGCCGTCATCTTGCTGTGTTCAGTTCTCAGCTTCGGCACTTGTCGCCGCAGCGCCAAACTTCTTTTGCACTTGTGGTGTGCCTTGTGCTTCCGTTGTGGAGCCTCCCTTCTGCGCGCCAATACCAAAGTTAGATGCGCAGCAATGCCGCAAGCAGTTGCGTATACCTACCAGTCGTTTCTGCGCAACAGCCTTTGCACTTCGAGGGGGCTTCCTCGCGAGCTTCTTTGAGCGAGAGCGTGCGCTACGAAGCAGTCTTTCTACGCAGAGCGAAACATGCATCCACGGGCAGCTTTTGCACTTGTCTTGTGACGCGCGCATGTTTCTGTTGCGAAGCAATTTCTTTGCGCACCATACAGCTGTTCCGACAGGCAGTTGCGCGTACCTAGGAGGATGTTGCTGCGCGGCAGCAGCTTTTGCACTTGCGGTGTGCCTCCTGCCCGTGTTGCTTCAATCCTTCCTACACACACGCAGCAACGCCACAGGCATGTGCATGCAACTAGCAGGATGTTTCTAAGCCGCCAAACAACTTATATACTTGTGTCGCGCCTTTTGCCCCCGCCGCAACGCATTCAATCTACGCCGCGCAAAAAACGTTCTTATGCGCAGCTAGATGGACACGCCTTTTTGCTCGAAATAACGTTTTTGTAGCTCTGATGCGCTTTCCTCCCGCCTGCTCCTCAGCTCCTGGACCACAGTTCCTGCTCCCGTTGGAGCTTTAGCGATAAATAGTTGAAAAGTTCTAGTCGGCTTGCTACCTGGGTTGCAGGCTGGGTTAATGTGAAAACACGCTAACAACTCAACGCAATCCAACACCCCTTTTTGCCCTATAACTTCTTAAGAAGTCTTAAGACTTAAGACTATATATATATATATAAAGACTCCCTGCTCTCCACTCTTTTCTGGCCCGCAATGCAAGACCTAAGTGGTCATAAGAAATGAAATTACGCAACTGCAGAAAACACTTTGAGGCCCCCTGCCTCGGACCCCCCCCATCTTTCCCCCGCCTAACCGGGGTGAAAGAAAGCCAAGGGTCACAGGGTGGTCCCAGGCCCCGCCTAGCCGGGGAACGAACGTCTGGGCCACCACCCTTTCAGTTTCGTTGTTTCTCTTCTTTTCCGCCGGCGGTCCAAATTCGAAGAAAAAGAATGAGCTACTTGTGGTGTCTTTTCTTGCAATTTTTTGGCTTCCTTCCACGTCCCCCTGGCCTCCCCTTTTGGGGAAGCTCAAGGGCTTGGAGCGGTGACATCAGGGACTTGGTATATTGTCGGGCATATGCTTTGGCTGGTGCGTTAAAAGTCAACTTGAGTTCAGCTAACACCGCTAAGCCGTCATTGATATAGATCCGGGCCGTCTTTGACGAGGCCCACCTCCCCTGAACTAGGAGGCGATGTAGTGATCCATGTCGTCCGAAGTACATGGTGGCACCTCTTCTCCGAAGGCAGTAGGGGCGGAAGTCGTGGCCCCCAAGCTGACATGCTTCTAGAGCATCATTAAAAGTCTTCCTCCAACTGTGAGGTGTGCCGCAGAATAACGAAGGAGTACCTGGTGTGTGGAGCCATTGCCATAGTCTACGAAGCGTCTCCTCTTCTTTGATCGTTGCGCTCTCACTTGCTCCGACCTTTTTTCCCCCTTTTGTCATTCCGAGTGAAATGACAGCGGGAGACCTTGGTCCCACTTGAGTGATGTGGTTTTTTCGGATGCCCAGAAGCTCCCCGGTGCATAGGAGCCCATGAAAAGCAAGGAGTAAGGAGAGTCCGAAGAGCCCGTTGCCAGAGAAAAGTGAATAACCGACAAGGACGTGTAGCGCTTCCACAGGCAATGGTGGAGCCCGGTTGGGTATTTCATTGGTCTGCCAGGTTCTCAACAACCTCCAAGCGCTAGGTAGATGTCCTCTTATGGCTGGCTGCTGATCTTGCACTGAAGCGATCGTATCGCAGGCAAGGGCTCTTCCCTCACCAGTTTCCCAGAGGAATTCTATGTACTGCGAGAGGAGGTAGTCATGGCCAGCGGCGTCGCGCGGGAAAAGTCGTCCTTCATCTTTGAGGAAACTCTTGTATTTGTCCAATGCTTTGTTGTACCGATCTCTAGTCTTGCTCTGTACCGTAAGGTTGCGAAGTGGGCCTAAATACCTTGGAGATGCGCTGTCTGTCTTCTCACCATTTTTTGCGAACTGGCCGCCTAGACGGCCGATCTGCAGGGTTTTGAGAAGTATGGACATACGCCCGTACTCCATGGTTTCCCGAAGCTAGAAGTAGAGCATCTATGCGACAAAGCGTCCTTCTCATCTTCCTGCTGCTGCTTCGTCCACGCGACAGAGAATGTAGGCACACGAGACTATCGATCATATGAATGAATTTTGAGTGAAAGGTCTTCTGCTTCATGATCCGCCACTTGAGGGTGGTAAGAACGGCCCTCATCTCAAGCACGTTGATGTGCTCGGAAGAGCCTCTCCAGCGCCAGCCTGTAATGGTCTTCCACTGCCAGAGGGCGGCTGGCAAGCTGGCCCGAAGGCGATGATACCGCAGGGTTTCCTCAGACTGGGCCTGAATCATGATATCTTCGCTCTTGAGGCTGACTAGGTTCAAGAGCTTCTCCACTAGTCGTTGGCCTCCATCTCTGCTCCCCTCCACTGCAGGAGCATCCAGCGGCGGCCTCTGCAGAAGTCCTGTCACTGTGCTGCTTCGCCCTGGTGTGGTTCGATCTACACCCTCTTGCAGGACAAGAACGGGCATAGTCCCAACTGGCCTCCTAGTTGTGACAGAAGCCAAGTCACCACTGTGACATTCCAGGTGTTGCCAATGAGTGTCTTGCGCTCGTCCACATGGGCCTCAGTACCATGGAATTGCTTGCTCATGCACTGGAAGGTGTAATCCTTTGGGAAACCCATGATGACCTCCCTCTCAATGATGTTTGGCAGCCGTAGGCCACCACCAGGCTCCTTGACAAGGTTCTTCTTCTGATACTGGTAAGGGGGAAAGCGGTGTCGGTCTTGCTCCCATGATTGGCGCTCCTCCTCATCCAGTGTTGCGAGCCCCGCCGGTTTACGTCCTGGGTTGTCTCTCGGCCTTGAGGTTGTGAATGTTAGAAGCGGTTCCTGTGAAGTTCGCTGGCACCACCCCAAGAGGAATTGCTCGGTCTTCACCTCTGCCTTGAGTTCGATGGTCCTGTACTGCGCACTCCCGAACCCATAGGAGGCTGTAGCGCTACTCCCCGGCCTGGGAGCAGTTCCCAGTCGCACCAATAGAGGCGAGGCCGCCGAGCCAACGAGACTCCAGCTGCGTCAATGCAAACAGGGGTATCCCCGAATGACTCTGTCATCACCTTCCCATCACCTTCATCCATGCTCATGACACTCTCAGCCATGTAGCGGACTTGCGCCCAGCAAAAGTGAACCCGTACCAGCTCCCGAATCCGAGAGACATGGCTGAACAAGCAGCTGCGATGGTCCCGAAGAGCTCCTCGTCTATTTGCATTTAATCCGCTTCTGGCATGGGGGACCAGCTCCAATGATAACCACTGCTGCCGGGAGTACCGAGCTGCCCAGGACCGCACCATCTCCTCATCGACATCCGCCACACCTCCTTCTATGAAGAGAGTAGACGGAAAGCGGCTCTCAAACACCCTGCTAGCTTCCTTCTTCACCTCCACACTTATGTGTCCAATAACCCCCAAGCCGAGGGAACCTGCAGCAACTCGCAATGCTCCTATTCCATCGAACAGGCCAATGGTGAGTACTGCCTGGCCGAACCCTGTCAGCCCCGTGCTGATGGTGACGCCGCCGCCAGTAGTTGACGCATCACTGGCCGTGACCTCCCCGCTAACTAGGAGGCGAAAGTTCAGCTTGGCCAAGGCGATCAAGCAAACGAATCTTGCAACCTCTAGCTTCACACCAGCCGGAAGGGGGAACTTGATGAAAGGTGGGTATCCACGAAAACTCTCGATGAACTGCCACAACTGGTTCAGGCATCCAAGCATGGGGCGCCGGAACATGCTGATGTAAACTAGTCCTCCAGCGACTACTTGGGCCTGCTTCTGATTGCACGATTCCTCTTGGAGCAAGAGTGAGGCTAGGGCAACATACTTGTAGAGCTTCACAGGCTTGGGGTAGGCCACACCGGCCTTTCCATCAACGATTGCTCCTTGTACTTCGGCCTTCAACGCTCGACAGACTGCCTTCTTTGGATGATGCGGTATGCCCCAGTCCTCATACTCCGCCCTTAGGGCCAAAAGAGCTGGGCTCGGCTCCCCTTGTAGGAGCTGAGCGGTCTTGTGGTCCATCTTCTCAACCAAGTCGAAGTTGTCGAGGTACGCCCTATGGAGGGTTGAGGCTCCTGAGAAAGGCCTGTCATTTCGTATCTCTCCTGAGCCCTCACTGCCTGGAGTTCCGAGTCCTGCTCGTCGCACAATGTTGCTGTGCACATGTTGTGCCAGGCTGACGGAGTTCTTGAACAGTTCTTGAGGAAGTACTTTGTTGAACGCCGAGAGCCGCCGCCAGTCCCTTGGCACCTTGAATATATAAAAGAAACAGCGCACATCCTCAGATGAAACCACTAGATCCTCTGTGGGCATGATCTGCAGTGGCCCCATCATGGCCCAACTCGGTAGGGTTGCGACGTCGCCTTCGAGAGCCCGCGCACAAGGTTGCATGGCCGTAGGTCCATGATGAGCCGGTGAATCGGGACACCCCCAACCTCCTCGTCCTTGGGTACGCCAAAGAGGCCGTTCAGAACTGGTGCACCTTCAACACAATAGACGTCAGCCTCCTGGATAGGCACGCACACCCCCTTGGCTATTAGCCCCTTGCAGACTTCCAACCAGTGATCATCGTGAACCAGCACACGTGGTGGCTTCATCTTCTTCTGGACCTCCCCGGGTAGGAGGTACTCTAGGAAGTGATCTACGTAATGCTTACAGCCAAGTTCACAAACCTCAGACAGATCAACCGACGCCACCTCTGCTGGCATCGCCGGGGCCAAGTTGGCCCAAGAGGTTGGGCGTGCACAGCGTACTTCATCACCGCAGTAATCAATGGTCTTTAACTGGAAGAAGCTTTTCCACGACGTCTCCTCCAGCCTCTCTGGCCATTCCATGACCGCTTGAGCCTCCTTATATAACCCTTTAACCACCTGCCCTTGAAGTTTGGTAGGATAGAAGGAATTCTCAACAGAGTCCCCATAGAAGCTATTCAACGCACAACACATACCCCTCACGATCACCACTTCTTGCTCAGGCGCCTCCACCATCTTCTTGAGGTAGAACATGCTGGTGGGCAACGGGAAAACGTCGCCCTTGGGCTGGGCCTTGCACCGCAGGTCGAGACCGATCTTCTCACATGTATGAACCAGCACACTCAATACCCAAGGGATGGCTTCGGCAAAACTATCTCCTGCACTTGGCGGTTTCACGCATCCTTTTTCAAGCGCGACCATGTCTTGTCGTTCGCTCGGAGATGGCAGGGAAGTAGCCAGAATACCCGGCCTCACATCTTACCCCCGGCCTCTGCGTCGACATGATGTTCAGTGGCCAGGCTAGTTGGAAAATCGTCCAGGCCTCCGCCCGGGTCCACCACTTCAAGCTCCCCTTCAAATGGAGCTTTTCCTCCCGGTGGCTCATAGCCTCCAAGACCTCATCCTCCTCATGCTTCTCAGTCACTTCTTTGCCTCCTCCTTGTGCTTGCCCTTCTTGCCTTTGCCCTTTGCTTCCTTCCCTTTTCTGTTTCCGTCTCCTCCGCTCTCTGTCCACGAACTGCTCTTCCATCCTTCTCCTTTCCCCCTGGACTGGGAGGCCTCCGACTTGGTCTTGGATTCCTCTTTCTGTTCCTCGTTGAAAGAACTGGTCGTTCCGGAGGCAATACCTCCAGTCGCTGCGCGATTTGCCACACAGCCCCCTGCGACACTAGTTCTATACTTTTCAGCCTCTGAACCAGCGTGTCGGCCGATTCGGCTATCCTCCCTTGAAGGATCAGGTCGATTGCAAAGCATAAGGTCAAAGCTTCTCTCGAAGGTGCTCCTTGCAATCTGGGCGCCATGGCCTGTCGGTAATACTGGATCGAGAGGGGCTGCAACTCCGACTCCTCCTGGTGCCAGATGCCTCCGGCGCTCGTCAACAAGGAGCCCTGCATTTCCTTGGGCGCTTGAGCGGCCAGAAGGCCCGGTGCCCTCTTTGCGATCCTCCGGATCTTGTGCGCTTCGGCTGACTCCCCGCTGTAGGAGCTGCCACTGCTGCTGGAGCTGTCCGTCGACGAGGACTTCTTTTTCTTCTTTGCCCTCTTCTGAGCCTTGTTGGCGAACCTCTTCCGGAAGCGGGGATCGGGTGACAACCCCGTTCCTCCTAGCACATCCTCTAACTTCTTCTTGGCCCCTCCTCGAAGACTGATCTTTTCGCGTGAGCGGCCTCTGCTCTGACCTCTTTCTCTGCTCCTCTTTTTCCTTTTCTTTTCTTTTTCCTTCTTCTTCTTCTCTGTACTCCTGACCTTTTCTCTTCCGCGATCTACTCCTACCCCTCCTTCGGCCTCCCCGCTCAGGAGACCTGCGCCGGGTGGCTGCCTCGCGGGACCGCCCTCCACGACCAAGTTTCTCATCCCGACCAAGTTGCTCATCCATGGGAGATCCTCTCCCACTCTCCGGTAGATGTTGGCGCCGTGGAGGAGGTTGTCGGCATCGAGGCATTCCGGACAAGCACCCCTGCAAAGATGGACTCTCAGAACCTCGGCAGGATTGCCGCTTGCCCACTTCAGGAGGTTCTCTTCGTTGAATCCCTGGATCTTGAGGGAGATCTCGATGTCTGAAGGGGCCTCGAACATGGAGATCTTGGAGGGTTCCTGCCACTGCTGCATTAGCCCCCCAATAGGTGCCTTCCATCACTACTGCAACCCCTCTTCGAAGGGACTCTCATGGGATGTCCTGGCATCTGGCATCGCAGCTTGTCACCACACTCAAAGCTTTCCGCAAGCCTTGGATCACGAGCCACCCCGGGCTCTTCCTCTCTCACCTCTCTCGCTTCTCCTTCAGCTCCTTCACGGGCTGCAGGACGTCTCCTCGGTCCACCTCCCCGAACAGGAGGATCTCCTCGTCTCGCTCTCCTCAAATCTGCTGCTGGCCTCAATCTTGGGGGCATTGATGTAGGGAAACTCCTCAGCGACCTCCTTGGTCACCCTGATAACGTCGCTCCCTCTTCTTCGCACCCTTGTTCACCCCGTAGTACGCTGGATCTAGCTTCCAGTTCTGGATTGGCCCCTGCCAATATCGCCCTGTAGGCCTTTGCTTCGCCTTGGCTACCGGTAGCCTCTTCGGTCGTCTGGGTGGCAACCTGGACGGAGTTTTGGGAGGCTTCACACTCGGCTTGGCCTTCCGCTCCTTAGCACCTGGCTCCGAACGAGGGGTCCTGAGACGATCCTGAGATGAGCTAGGTCTCCTTCGCCTTCTGCCTCCTCGGCTCTTGGATTCCTTTCTTCGCCTGTGACTTCGACTCCTTCTGGATGAGTGACCACGAGACGATCGATGCCTCCTTTTCTCCTTGTCCACCTTCGAGCTGCTGGAGTACTTGCCCTCTCCCTCCTGTACCTCCTCTACCTCAACAAGGCCTGGCTTCGAAGCAGGCGGGCTCGACTTCTCCTCCTCTTTGGGCTTCACCCAACTCTTGTCTACTTGATCTCCTCGACGAGCCTCTGGTCCAGCCACGCTCCCCGACTTAGGAGCCGCAGTCTCCTCTGCCTGCGTCTGCTGTCACTCAGCCTCCGCCAGGCGATCAAGCTCCTCTTCCAGGATACTCGTCCAGATGCGCAGATTCTGGATGCCCCAGCCTCTGCTCCTCACGGGCAAGTTATCCAGCGTCCTCCAGAAGCGGTCCCTGGCGCGACAAAATCCGCACACCAAATCAGTTTTTGAGCACTGAATCGTGCAGAGACGACACGGGTGCATGCCCTTTGAGCCCAAACACTACACAAAAACGAGTTCACGAACGGGCGTCTTAATATCCGGGGCCGTATATACACAGAGTCTTAACACCTTGACCCGGGTTGATAATTCAAACAATTGAACATCCAGGCGTCAAACCTTAACCAACTTGCGGCTGGCAACCTGGCAACTCTTACTGCAGCTCTGCTGCTTTTGGTTGGTGGCTTGGTGATTGCCTTCTTTCTTGAAGCCATATATTCGCATATATGGCTCCAGGTTCGAACAAACAACAGCCAGATTGGGGATCACAGTGACTACAAGGGAAACCGTGGGAAACCGAAAGTATGCTGAGCTTTGTGGTTTGACACTGTGCGCGGCCTGTTGCCAGTAGGTCCGGGTCTTTGGGCATCCTTGATCGCAGCAACTCAAAAAAAGGCGTCGTGACAGCGTTTGCCATCAAACTCACAACCAAAAACTACACAAGTCTTGCTGTTGGCGGCTTTGGCTGCAAGCTGGAGGCCAAGGATCCCCCGTTTGTACTCGATGAGCTGGCGTGCCGCGACAGCCCTTCGAATCTTCTCCCGTCCTTCGGTCAGGATTGATGCCGCGAAGTTTGTCTTGGGCCCCGTTATGTCTTGACCCCCTCTAAAGCAAGCAATCCTGGATACAAAACTGCAGCAACATATAAAGAGTGTGGTTTATTTTTTTTGGTGAAATTGTACTTGAGTGTGAAGGGGTGGACGAAAGGTAGGTCATTAAGTTCAACTTTCACAGAGGTGAGAGAAGAGAGAGAAGAGAGGGAGACAGAGAGAGAGAGAGAATGTGAAGAACAATAATACTGTTTATAATGAGTGAATCATACAGTGAATACAGTGAACTGCAGGCCTTGAGCTCAGAGCGAGAAAACAAATAACTGCGTACACAAACAGCCTTTACTTTAACATGGTAGCGGAGCTGTGATCCAACAAGGTGAGCTCCTAGCAGCAACCAACAACACAACAAAGGCGAGGGCTTGATCCTACAACCGTAGGGGACTCTCCACAAGCAGGAGCAAACAAACAGAGGCAACAAGGGCTTGATCCCAGAACCCTGGGGGACCCTTGCAATGTCCGGGACAGCCTCAACAGTGCAAGCAATGGCAACAATGCAGGCGACAGAACCTGAAGCACAAGCACTGTCACAAATACACCGATACAAGCTGAAGCCTCCCTTTTACAACGGAGACCAAAGCGCGTTCGAAGAATGGAAATACAGATTCACAGCATACATGGGTCTCATGGACCAGGAGTACAATCACTTGCTACAACAGGCTGAGGAAGCAACAGGAGAGATGCATGATGTAGATTTAGTATCAGCAGCCACAAGCAGAGAACAAGGAGACAAATGGATACAATTGGCAACAGACCTGAAATACCTCCTGATCAACATAACAACTGGAGCAGCGGCAACAATCTGCAGACAATTTTAGCAAGCCAACGGCTTCGAGATGTACAAACAATTGCTCCTCCGGTTTGGCATCCCGGTTGGAACAAGAAGCCTTGGATACCTCACAAAACTCCTCAAGCCCAAGTTTGACACAAACAATTTTGAGGAGTCCTTCATGCAATGGGAGTTTGAACTCTCAAAGTACGAAAGGGACAACAATGCGCAACTGCCAGAACCAGTGAAGATAGCAGTCCTCTTGAACGAAACAACAGGACCACTGCAACAACACCTACAACTCCTAGCGAGTTCCATCAAACGATACTCACAAGCACGAAACATCATCATGGAATACTACAGGGCCACAACAGCATTTTCCAAAATGGAAAGACAACAACAAGCCCAATCATCAGCAGTCGCCACAAGCTTCGGAGGAGAACACGCACCAATGGATGTTGGTGCGATCGGCAAAGGAAAGGGAAAACACAAAGGAAAAGGCAAAGGAAAGTACAAAGGAAAAGGCAACAACAACTATGGATACAATGGCTACGGGTTCAACAAAGGAAAAGGAAAGCAACAAGGAAAAGGATATATAAAGGCGAAAGGAGGTAAAGGATATGGAAGCCATGGCAACGGCACCAACAAAGGAAAGAGTAAAGGAATCAAAGGAGCAAAAGGAAAAGATGCAACAAACATTTGCTACAAATGTGGTCGGCCACTATGCAAGAGTCTGCAGGGTTGCAATCTTCAGCCTTGGAGCAGACGATCAAGCAGGACAAGCATCACAGTACGATGCAACACAGCAATGGTACCAAGATGGACAGCAGACATACGATCAGCAATGGTGGACAAACGACATCAGCCAACAGCAGCAATTGGCACTACCACCACCTCCAGCTACACCGCAAAGCGGAACAACGATACATATGATCGCAGGCATGGAAGACAAGAACATAGCACGAGCAAGCAATGGAGACAACACAAACGACAATCAACGCAACCACAAACCGCAATTACTTCAACTTGATGATCGACAGCGGCGCGTCAACACATGTATGCCCACGACATTTTGCACCACAATCTCCACTATACCGTGCCCTTTAACACCAGGACAGGGACTACAACTACGAACAGTCACAAGTGAACAAATCCATGTCTACGGATACAAGTGGATCTACATGGAGAACAACAACAAACAAGCAATCGTCATACCGTTCTTTGTGTGTGACGTACACAACCCAATATTGTCAGTAACAAGACTGACTGAACAAGGCTTTGAACTTCAGTTCAACGACCAGCCCTCAATGCAGCACAAGTACGGCTTTCACACAACACTTGAACAAAGGGATGGACTATGACTATACTATCTTCCAGTGACGGTAGTACCCATCCCAGACAACATGGAGTGCAGGTCAGGCAAACGGAACAAGGAACAATAGCAATGCTAGCACCTATGGCAATGACACCGACAGGAGCCGAAATAATGAGAGGAGACAATATATACAGACCTGTGGCAATACAATGCGCAAGGATACCTGGTAAGGATACACAACCGATTGAGGAAGGCAATGTTCGTGCCGGACGACAAGACATGCCCAATTCCAACCGACAGGCTGGAAAATTTCAGACGAACAGTCATCATAAGAGGCGACAGAAGTAACGAAGACATCACAGAAGAATCACAGGCTCAACAAGCACCAACAGCGAAGAGCCTTGCAGGGACAAGCTTGGACCGGAGAAGCCTGGTTCAAGGTGCGACATGGAACAACAACACCAAGCCTAGAAAGAGTAGAACAACAAAGCGAGGCGCCAAACACCGGGGCCTGGTGGCTCAAACCCCGGGGCCTCACACAAACATTAACAACAACAACAACAACAACAGCAGAAGCAGCAGCAGGCGAGACAGCGTCAACAAGACGCAGAGTCACTGGCAAATCACAAGGACAACAACTTGCACCGGAGCAGACAATGGGAACAAGCGTTCCGCATCCATCACAAGTACAACCAACCCAAGACTATTGGGTGAAGGAAGGACCGTACTGGAAGAGAGTACACGTGCAAGCGCGAACAGAGCTATACAAGCCAGAAGCATCGCAACACGGGCCAAGCTTCACAAGGCTCAGCAGCAACAGGACATCCTGAGTCAAACCCACGAGTGGACAACGAGGATACCGAATTGACGACGAATGGACAACAACAACACCACAAACACCAGCATTTGAATGGACAGGCTCAACAAACTTCGAAGAGCAAGACGAGTACAAAGCAGAACCGGAAACAAGCGATGACGAGCATCAGCAAGCAATACCTGGAAAAAGCAATTAGAGCACCAAAGCAGCCAACCGCGAAAGAACGAGCAAAGCATGCACTCACACATCTCCCATACAGAACATGGTGTCCAATTTGCGTACAGGCCAAAAGGAGAGAAGACCACCATCCCAAACAAACAAGCAAGATCCCAGTCATACAATGCGACATCACCTTTATCAAAGGGATCAATGACAAGCAGGCAACTCCCATCTTCACCGCCATAGATGTGGAGACAGGCATGGCAATGGCGGCAATGGTACAAGACAGACAGCAACAAACAAAGTACCTACAACAATGCCTGCAAAACTTCCTGATGGAATGTGGTCGTGTACAAGCAGCACTCAGCAGCACCATACTACAATCTGACCGAGATGACTTCCTGATCTCACTACTCAGGACAGTCGCAACAACGCTAGGAGGTCAGATGTCAGTGAGACAGTCGCCAGCATACAGTTCACAAATACAAGGAGCAGTTGAGAGGTTCCACCGAACACTCGCGGGACAAATCCGAACACTCCGGACACAACTCAACAACCAGTACAACACGATGATTGGAACTAACCATCCAATCATGCCATGGATACTGAGACATGCAGCATACCTGCTGAACAGGTATTCTGTCCACAAAGACGGACAAACGAGCTACCATCGACGATGGGCCAAAGACCACAAATCACCACTGTGTGAATTTGGCGAAACAATCAACTACATGATCCCACATCTACAAACACACCCAAAGCTGGAAGCGAGGTTCTTCATCGGACTTTGGCTTGGCAGAGATACAATGACAAACGAACACATCATCGGCATTCCGGGCAAGGTAATCAGAGCGCGCACAATCAGGAGACAAACAGAACCAGAGAAATACAATCGACAACTCATGGATACACTTAATGTATTCTCATGGTCGCCCTTGAGCGCAACATTGTCTCTACAAACAGCACGCAAAAAACAGCTACATCCACCCATGGTGCACAGTGCAGCGACAGCAGGAGAGAATCAATACACTGGCGCACAAACAACCCAACCAGATACAAGTTCAAGACACGTGGCGATACCTCTTTCACCACAACCACCACCAGCGAGTGCCTATGCACAAATGGCAATTTCACCAACAAGCGAACGGAGCAGAAGCCCACTTCCAACTCAAACAAAGAGAGAAGCGAGCGATGAAACGGCAGAAGGAAGCACAGCAAAGCAACAAAGAACAACCGAAGAAAGAACAACGCTCGAACGACCAATCGCGCAGCAACAAAGGAAGCAAAGAATATCAGCAGTAACAGTCACGACGAAGAAAGGAGAGGAGATTACAACAGCATCATGCGAGGATGAACAAAAGCAGGGCACCTATACAGGAATGCCTTCTGGACGCGATAGTCTATGATGCAGAAGGCTTGGACTCAACAAAAGTAAAAGCTGCGAAGTGGTAAAATGCTTTTCGCTCGGGCCTAAGTCAGGCGGTACACTTCTTGATTTGTGCAGTGGTGTATGAGTGGATGTCACTTACGTGTTATGCTTTCCTGTCACCCCTGCTCCACTCACACACCTACTGCAGTAGGCAAAATGCCTTCCCCTTTCGTAAACGGGGCATTGTGGTTCAAAATGAATCACATTTCCTGAGCTGCACACCCTGTACTGGTTGGCTCTTTTCATGAGCTTCAACCCATGTGCCTCAGAAATTCGAAGCTCCTGGAGGTATTGGTTCCGTTCTTCGCGAACCTGGTTCAACTCTTGTTGGAGCTCTTCTATATACAAATCCAACTGGAAAATCTTGTTCTCCATGAGCTCCTTTTCGTTTTCCTCCAGTGCCTTCGAACACCAGCCAGCTTGTGTTTCAACGCTGACTTTCTTCCC